ATCTTCCTCAAAAAAAAAAAAAAAAAAAAAATCAAAACTTTTGTGCTTCAAAGGACACTATCAAGGAAGTGAAAAGATACCACACAATGGGAGAAAACATTTGCAAATTCTATATCTGATAAGCGTCTAGTAAACAGAATATATAAAGAACACTTACAACTCAACAATAAAAAACAAATAACCCAATTTAAAAATGAGCAAATGATTTGAACAGACATTTCTCCCAAGAAGATAATACAAATGGTCAATAAATACATGAAAAGATTCACATCGTCATCAGCCATCAAGGATATGCAAATCAAAACCACAATGAGATACCACTTCACAGCCACTAGGATGGCTCTAATCAAAAAGATGGACAATAACGAATGTTGGCAAAGATGTGGAGAAACTGGGACCCTCATACCCTGCTGTTAGGAATGTAAAATGGTGCAGCGTTTTGGAAAACACTTTGGTAGCGTTAAACATAGTTACCACATGACCCAGCAATTCCACTCCTAGGAATACACCCAAGAGAAATGAAAACATCTGTCCACACAAAAACAAATGTTCACAGTAGTGTTATTCATAATAGCCAGAAAGTGGAAACAATCTAAATGTCCATCAACCAATGAATGGAGAAATAAAATGTAGCATATCCACACAGTGGCATTTTAACAAGCAACAAAAAGAAATGAAGTACTGATATATGCTAAAACATGGACGAACCTAGAAAACAGTATGTAAAGAAAGCGTCTATTGTATGATCCCATTTATATGAAATCTTCAGATAGGCAAATCCACAGAGACAGAAAGCAGTTTAGTGGCTGCCTAGGACTGAGGGACTGCGGGGGAAGAGGAGTAACTGCTAATAGGTTCCAGGTTTCTTTCTGGGGAGACAAAAATGTTCTAAAATTAGATTATGGCGATGGTTTGCACAACTCTTTAAATATACTAAAATTATTGAATTGTACACTTTAAATGAGTGAGCCTCACGGTACGTAAATAATATCTCAGTAAAGCTGTTTTGTTTTTTTTTTAAAAAAGCTCCAGGTAAGTACCTGACTTTTTGGCGGACGGTGGTAAACCGCTGCTTCCACCTCCAGCCCCACCTCCAGGGCTACCACCACCAACACCAGGGCCTCCTGGAGAGCCAGTCTTTTTACTCAGCAAACTATTGAAGAAATTTGCCAAGACACCCTCACTTGTAGCTCCAGCTATAAAAAAAAAAAAGAAAAGAATTCATCCAAAACGTTATTTTTCTATAAATTATTATTATAGCAATCACACACAGAAAACAAATAATAGACTTAAAATTTAAGAGCTGTATATTACAAAGACAAGTCCAGTTTTATCTTTTGAGGCTGGGTAACTTTTTCTCTAATTTATCCATATATAAAACAAAATATGAGCAACCTTTAAGAGTGTAAGATGATTATTAAAAAATTAGAACGTTATTTTTAAAAGGCCAAAAGCATTTTAAAAAACAGATGTTAGATGCTAATATATGTCCCTTTTGAAAGGGGTTCTTCAAAAATATAACTGTTGAGAAATATTTGCCTCAAGTATTTGTAAAAGTTACCTAATCCTATACGAAACCAGTAGAAGTTCCAAGAGATAGATGGGTAAAGGAGAGCAACAAACAATTCACAGAAGAGAAATGTATAAACAGAAAGGAAATACTAGGGGAAAAAGTTCTTATTAGTTAGTATTTAAAGAATGCTGATTAGATTGTAGCAAAACTGCATCACCTAATGTTGATGACACGTAAACTGAACAATCCATTTGAAAAACATTACCAAAAGACATAAAAATGTACAAACTCTGACCTATTAATCCCACTTAGGGCAATTATTCCTACAAAAATAACTACTATGCATATAATTTTTTCTTTATGTTAATCGCAGATAACCTATTATAGTAAAAATATGAATTTCTTCAATTACCTACCATAGGAGAATAATTAAATATAACACAAAGCTTTCATAAAGCTCACATCATTCAAATGATATATTAAGACTATACTGTAAAATGGTTCACAGTTTGATTAACTCTGAGATTATATCTATAGAGACAAAGATTAGAAGCTATTGCAAAAAAATGAAAATAGCTATGGCAAAAGCTGGGATTCTAGGTAGATTTCTTTCTATTGTAAAAATGTATTGTGCTGTTTTCTCCAAGAAAGAAATGTACCTTTCATGTTTGGATCAATTTTTTTTGACCCAGCAGGGATGGGTGACACACTGGCAACATTGGACGACACAGATCTATTTGGTGTTCGAGGGGAGCCTCCTGGGACTCTTGGTGAGGCATCCTATGTAAAAATAGGAAAATCATAATTATAAAAACCTGAAACTTTCAACTTCACAAAAGTTACTATTATAAAAAGAAATTACTCTGCAATTGTCCCCCATCTGTTCTACTGGTACTTTCACACTACAGGCCATTGACAAAAATGTTTAGCAACTGTGTCCTCATTATTAGAAAATACCCATCATATTTTAGAATACTAATTTTCCCTTCAATGGAAAAAGAAGAACATATTGAATAATGAGGTGTGGTTATGAGTAAGTGTGGGGGTCAGATCTCTGTTTCAATCTGGACTTGCATCCCATCGGCTGTATAATCTCAGGCATGCCACAATGTCCTCCGAAGCCCCCATTTCCTCATCTGCAAAATGGGGCAAATAATAGTATCTGCCTCATAAGGCTATGGTGAAGATTTATAAAATAACACACATAAATGGTTCAGCGCAGCAACTGATGCACAACAAACGTTGCAAAATTGATCTTTATGATTTAAAATATTCTAAAACGGAGTGAAGTCTATCTTTTAAAATCTCACAAATTCCAGGAGAATTCTGAATTTAAGTTTATATCAAAGTACACCCATATGAGACATGTACATGATTAAGAAAAAAAAGAACTAAAACAATATGCACTGCATTTTAATAATTTTGTCAAAATTTGTAATACTGACCACAGGCCTTCCAGCTGCAGTTGGTGGCTGCTTTGCTAAGAGAGACTGAAAAACACCAAAGAATTCTAGGTTAGACATTCATAGCATGTATTGCTGTATTTTTAAAGAAAATATATATAGGAACAGTTTACCCATTAACTATACTAAGTCTGCTTCTGATGTAATTTCTTACCTGTAGCTTCATCAGAAACACCTGGTCATCTTCTGCCACAATTTCCTTCTCATGCACAAACTGAAATGAGCAATGCATAAATGAGTAAGTCTAATATATTATGATAAAACCATTAATAACTCACTCTTTAGATTAAACTAATTTTTTAAAAAATTTCAAGAATATGAACATTACCTATATTTACATGGGTGAGCTGCCCTGCCCAAGCCCCTATGGCAGAGCTGTCCCATAACTATCTGCAATAATAGAAATGTTCTATCTCTGTGCTGTTCAATATGGTAGCCACTACCTACCTGTGGCTATTAAGTACTTGAATTGTGGCTAGCGTGACTGAGGAACTGAATTTTTTATTTTATTTAGTTTTACTTAACTTATATTTAAAAGCCATATGTGACTAGGAGCTACTCTATTGGACAGCACAACCCTAGAGCCATAGGCACACTAACCAAGCTTATAAAATCTACTAAACAACAGTTAGGTGTTTAAAGCACCAATAATATCCCAGTTGAGTAAAAACCAACTTGTCCCTGGTTTCCCTGAAATAAAAATATAGTGGCTCTTCTATCTGCTGAATAATTAGGAAAAAAGAGTAGCAAATGTCTCCTGCTTCTCCTTTCAGTACAAGACACGCTCCCATCTATTTTCCACCCAGTAGCCAGATTGCTTCTTTTTTTTTTTTTGTGAGGAAGATTGGCCCTGAGCTAACATCTGCCAATCCTCCTCTTTTTGCAGGAAGACTGCCCCTGAGCTAACATCCATGCCCATCTTCCTCCACTTTATATGGGACGCCGCCACAGCACGGCTTGCCAAGCGGTGTGTTGGTGTGCGCCCGGGATCCGAACCGGCAAACCCTGGGCCGCCGCAGCAGAGCGCACACACTTAACCGCCTGTGCCACCGGGCCAGCCCCCAGATTGCTTCTTTTAAAAGGTTAAATCAGATTACATCACTCTTGGGCTCAAACTCTCCCTCCAATCTCTTTCCATGTCACGCAGAATGCAATCCAAAGTCTTGACTGCAGTCTAATGATAAGGCCCCACAAGATCTTAACCCTGCCTTTCATCTTCTACCACTCTGGCCCTCCTCATGGCTCTTTTCCAGCCTCTCTGGCCCCCTCTGCACATTCCTACCTCAGGGCTGTGCACTTTCTGTTCCCTCTGCCTTCAACATTCTCCCCTCCTATCAGAGACATTCGCCAATCATTCCTAAAACAGCATCCCTTCCCCCATCCCAGTTCTCTCCCCTCACCCTTTATTTCCATAGCACTTATCACCACTCCAGAGATAGCTTCTGTACTGATTTACTATTGCATCACCCTCTTATTTAGCACCTAATACCTAATCAGTGCCTGAGCTGGTGCTCAATAATATTTGTGGAATGAATAAAAGACAACTTAAACAAAGCACAATTTTGTTGGTAAAAGAGATAATGGGAAAAATTGCTTTTGGATGTGCACGTTTCTTTTAATAGACATAAGAACTAAACACTACACCAACTGATTCTTCATTTGATGTTACTTTTCTTGTTTCTTTTTTTATTTTATTTTTTTTTTAGTTTTTGTGAGGAAGATCAGCCCTGAACTAACATCCGATGCCAATACTCCTTTTTTTCTTTTTTTTTATTATTATTTTTTTTGTGTGAGGAAGATCAGCCCTTGAGCTAACATTCATGCTAATCCTCCTCTTTTTGCTGAGGCAGACCGGCTCTGAGCTAATATCTATTGCCAATCCGCCTCCTTTTTTTCCCCTAAAGCCCCAGTAGATAGTTGTATGTCACAGTTGCACATCCTTCTGGTTGCTATATGTGGGACGCGGCCTCAGCATGGCCGGACAAGCGGTGCGTTGGTGCGCGCCCAGGATCTGAATCCGGGCCGCCAGTAGCGGAGTGCCTGCACTTAACTGCTAAGCCATGGGGCCAGCCCGCTCCTTTTTTTTCCTGAGGAAAACTGGCCCTGGGCTGACATCCGTGCCCATCTTCCTCTACTTTATATGGGACGCCACCACAGGATGGCTTGACAAGTGGTGTGTTGGTGCGTGCCTGGGGTCTGAACCTGCGAACCCCGGCCGCTGTAATGGAGCGCGTGCACTTAACCACCGTGCCACCAGGGCGGGCCCCTACTTTTCTTATTTCTAAGTACTCACAAACAGAAGACAGATGCTCAATGTAAATGTCTGAATTCCTAAGTAAGAGTCTTATTATATGTTAAATCAAAATTATTTTTTCCTAAAACACATCCAAATTAAAAGTCAGTGAGAAGTACTATATGAAACACTCATTTTTACACAACTTTTCAGAAACATATTAACTATAGAACATCATATACTGCTTCATATGAAATCAAGATATATGAAAGGAGAGTACATTCTGGAACCTGATTTAAGAGTCATAAGAATGACACGCAACAGTCAAGATTAAAACTGAATACAGGAAACTGGAAACTCCTGGATAGCTGTTGGCTAGTGTGGGTAACTACTGTGGAGAAGATCCCAGAGCTGCCTCAATACATAGAAGCTAAGAAAATTATTCTAGCAATGTTTTCTTGGCTTTGGCTGAGCTCTAGGTTGGAAAGTTCACAACTTCTATGTATTCAAATTATTCAAGATCTACATATTCACTCATGCTAATCCATGATTTCCATTAGAAAATGGAATCTGCACTAATATTTGCTAATGTAAATATGCTAAAGGCTAACTAACGATCAGTAACTGAATAGCTGATTTATATTTTGATAAAACATCTTTATTTTGAATTGTGCATCAGAAACACCCAAATCACACTTAGAAACCCCCTTATAGAAAAGGGCTCTCTTACCTTCCTACCTACAATTCTAAATTATGAATTCCTCCTCAGTTTAAAAGCCTCAATATTGAGACTATATACTAAAAACTGTTACCTTTCGGACAGGTGGTTTAGTTATAATGTCTTCAAAATTATCTTCTGCTTTTAATGTTTGAAAATTTTCATGTAGTATTCCTATTTTCTTATCATTATCCCATCCTGCTGGACTGGAAAGAAATGCACATGATAAATTCTCAAGCATTTCATGATCATATCAAAGGGAACATTTCTAGGAAGTTAAATTTGACCAATTATGAAAAACTCCTCAGCTTTTTTATTATAATGCTCAAGGTATGGTTTACTAATTTCTACTTGAAATTATTATTAATATTCCTGATTTAAAAAATGCTATTACAGTTTTTTATGGGGGAGGATGGTAATTAATTATTACCTCCCAATTTTATTCAGATAACTTTTTAAAAGCATGTCTAGATTATACATTGAGTCCTTTATTTATCACAACCAATTAAAGAGTAAGTAGATACACTAATATATGCACCCAATAGATAATTTAGCTATAATGGTAAGGCCTTTCGAAAAGGGCTCAGGCCAGCAGTAAACCTAAAAGCAATGATAAATGGATAAGGCAGGTTATAAATAAAACAATCTAGAAACAGTCTCACCCACTCATCATCGAAAGGTCTACTGGTCTCATCTCAAAACCGAAAATGATGACTCATGATCAAATAGCAGCAACAATACACAATAAAATAAAATATTTAAGAGCATACTTACATAACTACTGCATCTTTTTCCACAACAACGGCAGGAATCTTGTAGGGAAATCCATATAGTTTCTGAACAATGTATTTATATACTAAATCTATATTTTTGTTTTCTTTTACTGAAGTGTAAATAAGTGCTGCACCATCTGAATAATATTATTAAAGAAATTTTTGGACAAATTCCTTGAACAGGTACCATAAAATTCTATGTTCTCAGCTTAACATTTACAAGTATATTAGTTTCAAAAATAATTTCCAAAGGTATATTATATGGTAACCAGGAATTTCAGAAGTATAACATACTTATATACAGGCTAAAATGCAAATAAAATAATCTTTACATAACTGACTTAACTTAGACAGCAAAAGTCTCATTAAGCCAAGAAAGTAAAGGTAAATTCAGTAATACTGACACCATTACTACCTCTATATTTAAAGCACATGAAGAGGCAATTTGTTTTGATTTTTAATCTTCTTAAACTTCATGAAGGAGGGCTATTATTTATCAACAACTGTTTTGTTTACCTTTTCAACAAAAACAGTTTGCACTAGTGTCTCTTCTAGTTTTTACTAATCCCAAAAATTAGGACTTTGGGGACAAAGCTCAGGACATTCACCCATGAGAGAAGATGAACCAATAGGCACCATCAGGAAGCTTTCGGGAATGATCCAAGGCAAAAGTAGATTTCATGACCAAAACCTGAGATAACACTACCTCACATGAAGATGTGTTAATTAAAGCCGATCCTATTTTTTTTTTTTTTTTCCAATTTACAAAAAGGGGATGTTAATATATTTTTTTTTTTTTTTAAGCCGATCCTAATTTTGACCTCGTCCGAGAGATATAGTGGGTCAAAAGACCAAGATAGGCCTGTGGAAAAAGGGACAACACGACCACTGACAGACGATGTGGTCAGAGCGGCTATCAGAAATTCTGACCACTGCTGAGGAGCATGCTCTAGCTGGCTACTGTGTACTGAGAGAGATGGTGACTTAGGCCATGAGTAAATGCTGGGAATGGTCTAACTTTGAACTGGGATATTCATATTTTCTAGGACGTGAACTGAGGCTTACGAACCTAAAAGTGGTATCGACAGCTAAATACTACTTAGTATAAAACTTAACTTGGTAGAAATATAAAAGCTTAATTGTGTGAACTTTTCATTAATGATCTTCCTTATAATGAGAACCAATTTATGACAGTTTGGAAGATTTCTACAGCTGAAAAACTTGCATTGCAATTTAATTTTTTTTAAAGTTAAAAATAAAGATGATTTTGAACTGTTGCCCTCACTGACACACACACATCTCACTATCCTGAAGTGACTTCTCACATCCTGTATTCTTTTAAAAACCAACCGGCTCTACTAAAGGTCTGTAATTATTTTAGTGGGCAGTCTCCTTCCTGATTACATTTCTATAGTATTTACATTTTTAAGTACAGCATTAAATAAATGTTTAAAAAGACTGTTCTCAAATTTTCTAATCTTCAGAGATAACAAAAAAGATTATAGACACCTACTTCAATTACTCCCACTTTTTTTCTTTTTGACTATTATGTAAACAAATGCCCTTTAATTCAACCCAGCTCAACCACTGTGTGACATGAGAAGAGAAAGAGCCACGGAGAGGACAAAGCTATTGAAGGAAAAAGGGAAAGGGAACTACCAGTGTCAAAAGTGATTGTATTCAGCTAGGCTTTCTGTAAGTGGTCCTTAAATTAAATGCCCATTAATGAAAATGAAAAACTACAGACACTATAAATATGTGTATATTACTTATTACTACTATCTACTTCTAATACTATTTCTTCACTTTTCAGACTCCAAATGCTTTGGTTGGGGAATGCAAATCCAAAATATCTGATCCAAGATGGGTAGGTGAGTACAGCTCTCCTCAGCGCACTTACTTAAACTGTGACTAAGTGTTCAACTGTAAAGTCTCTTAAAAGCATTCACTTACAACCCTCATTTTATCCTTCTTTTAGTCGTAAATGTTATTCATTAGTTCATCTAATCCTTGCAACCTACACCAGACAAGATTCCTTATAATAGGTTTTCTAACCTTATGATGATCAAAACCACCCAGGAAGCTTTTTAAAAGTACAGATTCTCCAGCCTCACCTTGGAATGTTCCAATTCAGTAAGTCTTAGATGGGCACAGTCAGATTTTGAAACCACTGCGTTGGACTATATGTGTAGATGATAACATACTAAACATATTAAAAATGAGAACACACATGGGCCAGTCCCATGGCATAGTGGCTAAGTCTGGCACTCTGCTTCGGTGGCCCAGGTTTGTGGGTTCAGATCCCTAGTGTGGACCTACACCACTCATCAAGCCATGCTGTGGTGGCGACCCACATACAAAATAGAGGAAGACTGGCACCGATGTTAGCTCAAGGCTAATCTTCCTCAAGCAAAAAAACAAAAAAAACAAAGAAAAACAAAAAAAACAGGAAGATAGGCAATAATGTTAGCTCAGAGCTAATCTTCCTCACCAAAAATAAATAAATAAATAAAAACAGAGAACACATAAACCTAAATATTGATCTTGCCCCACCACCTACCCTCTAAATGAATATTGTTTTGTTTTTTTTTTTTTTTTTTGCTGAGGAGGATTTGCCCTGAGCTAACATCTGTGCCTGTCTTCCTTTGTTTTTTAGTATGTGGGCTGCCAGCACAGCATAGCTGCTAACAGAGCAGTGTAGGTCCGTGCCTGGAAACTGAACCTGGGCCACCAAAGTGGAGCATGCTGAACTTAACTGCTGGGCTACCAGGGCTGGCCCTGAATAATGCTTTTTAATCAAAATGTTCACAATGCCAACTCATCAGAATTTTCCACATAAGACTGATAATTATTTTTCTTAAGTATAGTACTTTAAAAATAGCAAAGTTATATATTTCAATACTTAATTTTTTACCTCAAAAAACCCAGATATAAATGATTTGGGAACTAAAATTTAATTTCCAACCAGAGGTAAGAGGGAAAAAGTTTATGGAATTTCTAAAGTCCATCAATTTAATTCCTTTACTTTAAAAAATACTAACAGGTAAGGTCATTGCACCAATCAATGTATTAAAAGGATACACTGTAAACAAAACTTCCGAACATGTGACTGAATAAAATCAAAATGTTCATCTCTGTAGTCATGTTCTTTCTCCAATACACTAATGGCATCACACTGTTGAGTGAAAATAATTTAAAAAACAATACAACATTAACTTTAAATAATAGAAATTAAATATAAAGATTTAAACAATTCAATTTTGGGTGGGGGAATATCACAAATCTACCACTTTGATATGGTGACTGAATAGTGGGACCTAGACTATCAAGTGCTCCTATCTGTCTAGAGACTTTTAGGTGGAGCCTTAAGACTAATGATTAATTTTATTTCTTTAAAAAGTGCTGACTTCTATGTTATACTGAGTCTGGGGCAACACCAAAGGGAAAGTTTTAGTACAGAAAGTAATGAAGAATAACAGTCAAGCTTATAACGGGTGGTCATACTTGCTAATTCAACTACTTGTGTCCTAGAACAAAGTTTTTAAGATCTAAAAATCTATTCTAGTTCTATAAAACACTCTGTATATCCACGGAGTCTGCACCTCTCACTGTTTCCTCTTTCTTCCTCTGTTTATCTGATAACTCTTAATTTGACCTTCATTTCCCTCCTGGTGCTTTTATTCACTCTCACCAATAGCAAAAAAAAAAAGAGAATTAGAGGCTATTTTTGAAATGTCACCTGTACAATCAATGATACAATTCTGAATTAGGCTTGTGACAGAAAAATGTTAGGAAAAAAACAAGCATGTTCAAACATCACGATATCCAAACCTCCCCAAAACCTTTCTGAATTGAAGGTGTGAAACCTAAAAATAAACATTTAATAATGTTTATTATACCTAATATTAGTTTGGGGTCAAAGTTGATATGTAATTTTTTGTTATATATATATATATTTTATATACACACAACCCCCCACAGAACAGAGTCTCCTTGTATAGTCATGATGTAGCACGTTTGTCCATTTTATAGAACATTGAGAGTCACTACTTCAAATGATTAAAAATATTTATAATTATTACATTGTTAACTTATGACACTTTTGGTGAGGCATGGTAGTTTAGTAAAGTGATTTTCAACTGAAATAAGAAGATGTGGACCTAGGGCAAGAAACTTAGTCCCTCTGAATTCTCAGTTTCCATAGTCTTTAAACTGAGCTGAACTACCATTTTTCATCCATCCTGAGACACACATTCTCCCACTCCTATACACATTTTAAAGCTCTTAAACTGAAGTATAACTGATGGTGTCTTAGATTCTTTGAAATACAGAAATCTCTTCTGGCTTGAACATTTTATGAATATATTACTCATCTGTTACTGACTCAGGTCCCTTTAAACTTAACATTTTTCATTTAGAAAAATAAGATAGCTTTTTATGAGGCAAACTCTAGTGTAAAACAATGAAATATCTGCCAATAAACAGCTCTTTGCCAAACAAAACAGAACAAACCACACACAAAAGGATTCTAGTGTGAGAGTTTAAAAACAGTTTTACAGAAAAGGTATAAAATAACAATTAACTACACCAGAATCACCATTTCAAAAGCAGATAACACACTTTAACTTAATTATTTTAAATACCATCCCCCCATTCCTTTGTTATTGATAATTTTTGTAGTTTAAAGTAAAACTTAAGCTAGATTTAAAATTTACCATTTGTATTCCAAAGATAAATAAATTCCATACCTTCCTTCAATTGTATGCACAAATTTTACATCTTACGAAAAAAATAATTTAGATCTCAAAAGGGTTTACACGTTTTGTCATTTTCTTAACTATTCTGTGACTTACAAACAGTAAAGATATACTACTTAGGACCAAATGGGGAAAAGTGAACTTGAACTATAAATTATTTTTAAAGGAAATATGATTTTATTATAAAGTGCATACAGTGACAGAATTAAATTAACAGAATTTTGATAATAGCAATCCTATCAGAAGCTCTTTAATAAATAAATGAAAAGCCCTTAATAACTGCATATTAACTTTACATAATGAATGCTGACAGGTGTTTAAAAGTCTATTTTAAATAAATAATCTGATATTAGGGTAGAATATCAAAATTTAATGTGGAAAATATTCTATTTTATAAAAATTAATAATTAACTTATCATCTTACTTGTAATTTCTTCTACTAAACTGATTGTACAATGAAATCTACTTGGAATTAGGAAAATGAAATTCAATCACAAACAGAATACCTGAAATAATATTTTCTTTCAAAGAAACTATGAAACAAAGATCACAAAACCAACATGTAAATGTCATTCAATATTATTAACCATTATTTCTACTTATTACGAAAAATAATCTAGGAAACCTGAAATGTCAACTCCAAAAGGAGCCTGGAAAACAAAATAGCTGTTCATCCTTGGTTAATATCAGTAGCAGAATCTCTAGGAAGCAAACGAACCTTTGTGCAAACTACTAGTACTGGAATGCCCAAGTTATGTGTAAGTGTATCCGCACCCAGAGGTAACACCACACTGTCGTCTTTGTCTTCCTGTGACACGGTATTTCTTCTCTGAGGAGAAGCTGGGAAATCTTCTCCTGGCTCTACATATTCTTGGAAGTCTCTAATCACTGAAAATCAAGGTAAATAATTTAATACATAGTTTAGAAATTGCTTTATTTTCAGCAGGTGGTTTTTTCTGGCATAATCTATCATTATCTATTTTGCTAGAGTTTATACTTAGTCTTATGTAAGAGAAGAAACAAAAAGAGTTTCAGATATCTATTTCAAAGACAGTGCAAAGCTCTGGACCCCCATTAATTACTGAATTACATTCAGTGCTCTGAATGGCTCCAAAGAGTGGATTCAGTGTAGGCCTGGTTCAGTCTGTGCAAATTACTCTGGACAAGTCACAATCTAGCTTTGTCTCTCTACCTTCTCTAATTCACAAAGGGCATTGAAAGGATAAAAGAAAAATAAATGGGGGGCAGTGGATTTCACAATTTAAAAGACAGTCTAAGATGACTTTTTTTTTTTTTTTTTTTAAAATTTTATTTATTTATTTTTCCCCTCAAAGCCCCAGTAGATAGTTGTATGTCATAGGTGCACATCCTTCTAGTTGCTGTATGTGGGACTCGGCCTCAGGATGGACGGAGAAGTGGTGCCTCGGTGCGCGCCCGGGATCCGAACCCGGGCCACCAGCATCGGAGCATGCGCACTTAACCACCAAGCCACGGGGCCGGCCCATTAGATGACTTTCTAATATTAACTTCCTTTCTCTAAACCCGTTACTCAGGTCTCCTCCTTTTTACCTAGGTGTAATTTTGGCCCATATTCATTCTGTAACCCTGGTAAGAATTAATGAGATTTACCAATGCTGATAAATTTTTAGAACTCATTTGCAAGACTGTCAAAAGCTTCACATAAAAAAAAAGTTAACGTGGGGGCTGGCCCAGTGGCGGAGTGGTTAAGTTTGTGTGCTCCACTTCGGCGGCCTAGGGTTTGCTGGTTTGGATCCCAGGCTCGGACCTACGCACCGCTCATTAAGCCATACTGTGGCGGCATCTCACATACAAAATAGAGGAAGATGGGCACGGAGGTTAGCCAGGGCCAATCTTCCTCAGCAAAAAGAGGGAGATTGGCAACAGATGTTAGCTTAGGGCCCATCTTGCTCACCCCCCAAAAAAAAAAAAGCAAAACAACAAATCTGGAAACAAATTATCCACAGCATAGGATTAAAACAGTATATGAGGGAATATTATACAGAGCCATAAATGTAAAGTTTTCAAAGAATATTTAATGCTGTAGAAAAATAACATTAAGAGAAAAAAAGAAAACCAAAGTATGATTCCAGCTTAGAAATGAAAAGTACTTGCAAAAATATGCTAAAATATATTTTCAATTTTTATAAATCAAGACTGTATATTACTTATAAAATTAGAAAAAAATGTTACTTATTTTTTAAGCAAAGTAATTATGGGCCAGATCCACTTTGGAATATGACTCACTTGGAGGAAAACTGTCCTAAATTTACACAGGGTCAAGGAAGAGAGAATTCTGAACAGTTGAGTGCAGTTCCTCCAGGAACACAGGAGCATGCATAAACCCTTGGCAGCTCTGGCGGCTACTACCCTTAAGAGCAGAGGCCGAAATCTAACAGTGGTTCTCAAGTTTTAGCATGCCCAGAGTTTCTAATTCAGAAGTCTGGGGTGGGGCCTGAGAATGTATATTTTTGACAAGCTCCTAGCTATGATGATACTGATGCTGCTGGCCCTGGGACCACACATTGAGAACCACAGCTATAGTATAAACTTAGAGAGGAAAAAAAAAAAAACCCCACAGGCAATGGCCAACAGGGAAACAAAGGTTCAGATTAAAAACACATATCTTTTTCAATGATTTAGGACATATATTCTCTTAAGTTTTTACTGTTTCCTTGCATATAAATTCAAGCAAGCTGTCAATTTTTCCCTAAAAGTTATTATCAGCTAACAATAACAAAGAAAAGCAGCATTCCATCTGTATATTTTCTTAAGCAAAGTACAACACTGGCAAATAAAGAGCTCTCAGTGAAATTAAGAACTGTGACAACTGGTTAACAACCTATTAGAAATGACCCATATCATTTTCATAATTTCCATGAAAATTTCAAATTTATGTGGGTATGTACTAAATATACTATGTACTTTGTAAGCCATAAAACCACCTTAAACATCTTTATATTTATGTTGTGACCATCTTTTTGGACAGATTTCATTTTGACAAAGTTGATAAGATTGTTTTACTTATCAAGAAACAAAAACTGTTGAAAATGAGGAGCTGAAGAAAGATTCATATTTTTTTTTTTACCCTGAAAAACTACTTTCCAAGATGAACACATAGGGCCTTTTGGCAGAGGAGAAAAGGCATCTCTTCTAAAGAGTCTGCCATCATGTATATGTTTTCAATTTAAAACTATAGTAAAACCTAGCACATCATTCAAACTGAATTTCAAAAACAGTAGTCACATTATATTTTCTTCATTAAACCTCCTTCATAGTCAACAAATCCTAACGATTATGATAATCAGCTAAGACATTTTGTATTTCAAGTTTATACTAATATTTCTAGACTACTCACACTTTTGTTCCATTTCTTTCACTTCTTCAGGAGGAAGTTTTAATTTGTCAATATGTTCTCTAACAACACTTGCCCATTTCTGTAAAGAATCCAAAGCAGTCCAGGGCTTTGACATATCAACAACCAGCATAACTAGAGTGTCCTTCAGAGAAATGGCATCCAGTGAAAATTTAAGGAGGCCTTTGTGATATAGGTCTCCATCTAAGATCCATACATTACATCTTGTTTGATCTACAATAGACAAAAGAAAGTTACCAAGGCAACAGGTCTAAGTTATTTCATCATCCAACTAACAATGTTACTTGGCATTTTAGGGCATCTCCACAGGAGATGTCTCCTGGCTTTGACAAGGTTCAACTATTTGGGTCACATCTACCAATTTAGTAAAGGCCTAACAAATATCCCTGAAAATGAGTTAACTGCCAACATAGAACACCAGCATCCTCTACTTCGTATTTCTCAATCCCAAACCACAGACTGAATAACATGTTTCTACTCTTACCATCAGCAGATAGAGCCATGCATATTCAAGATATTATATACAAAAATGAGAAGGCAAGTGATCTACAGAAGAAAAAAATGGCTGATCAGATGAGAAAAGCTGGGGAGTAGATGACGTTTTTATGTCAAAAAATGAGAAGGTGAAAAGGGAGTCAGCAAAACAATCACAGGACCCTATTATTTTACTATCTGAGTGAAAATGAACTGAAAGATTAAGATTCTTCAAAGATAGCAAGAAAGCTCAAGTCTGCACACCAGGATACCTTAAGATGTTTAAAAACATCACTATATGAATCCCAATCCCAAATCAATAGAAGTATGCCTAAACATAACCATTTACTGACTGGCATGACATAGTAGGACTCCTAGTAAAAAAGACACACTAAGAAAAGTCAAAGACTTTTATGCAGCAGTGCAACTTGGAAAGGCTTCAGGAAACTTATGTTACAAATAAATGACACTCACCGTCCCTGTCTTCATCATGAACATTTAAGTACAAATATTCCAATCCTCTTCCTTTCTTGTACTCCTCTATTCCCTGAATTTTTCTTATTAGGCTTGTTTTTCCAGCTCCATCTTCACCTGTAAAAAGGACAAATCTTTTAAATTATAATATGGATTATTTAAGGATGCTCTCTAGTATCAAATGAAAAACCCAATGGGAACTAGCTTCAACCAAAAGGGTAATTTGATGGAAGATGACTAGGTAACTATATAGTTGAAGATACAGACTTCAGCTCCAGTATTCTCTCCCCAGGTGTCTCTGCTCCTCTTAAGTACCTTTCTATCCTATTACAAATGGCCTCCTCTGTGGGTATTTTTCAGGAAGCTCATTACATCATCCCAGTTTAATCTACAAGGAACAAAAGACTTTCTTTGTTGGCTTTCAGTCTGAAGAATCTCAGGTAAAGACTCTTAAATGGCCTGGTTAGGGTCACGTGCCCACATACAGGCCAATCACAGAGGATGAATGGTATATCAAAACTGACTAGGGCAGGGAATTGTGACTGGAGCCTCAGCAAAACCATGAAGCCATAAGAAATATGTAGTAAAGGAGGGGGTAGTAAGTTGGGCAAGAACAAGGGAGGAGGGAATGTAGAGCAGACAAAATAAAACATAAACTTAAAAAATATTAATAGCAAGAAATCATGTGATTTAAACTTGGCACAAGATTAAAAAGTTTAAAACTAGGCTAGCTATACAATGTTTTGGTGAGGATTTTTTTATATAGTGAATTTATCTAAATACTACATGTTACTGTTTCATGGACTTATTTAGTTATTAGCAGTATCATGTTAATAGTACTTGTAAAGGTCAGTTTCTTGGATCTAAGGACTTATTCCTGGAGATTCATGAGTTCTCTGAGAATTTAAAAATCATTTTCATTTTCATGTTAAGCTTTAAAAAAAATTACATATGTCTTGGATCTTCTGAATGACCATCTTTACATCTAAATGCTGCCACAAGATTGCAGTACCCACCTCTATATTGTTGTTTATAATCCTACTGATGCTAAGTTGAGGTCAAGTAATGCAGACAGAACATAGAAGAAAGAGAGCAGACACACACGCATGCCAAACTCAAAAGGAAGTGTCCCACAGCAGTCAATACCATATTCAATTGTATTGGTCAAACTAGTTCTTTTTATGAACCATTTTCCAATACTTCACAGCAATAAGACTAGCCTTAAACAGGCAATACAGAACTTGCCATTAAATGAGTACTTATTTTTCAGTACTATTTTTGCAGTGTACTATTAAAATTGTCCATCAAAATAACAGATTGGGTTGAAAACAGTAATACCTATGAAAATAATGATTCCCATGATGATCCACCATGTTTAAAATGGAAATAATGTTAACCAGTGAAAAATAAAATACATAAATACTTCTGTCTACTATTAAATCCAACATTGGCATTTAATTTAAGCAAAATATCATTTGTTATATTGATTGCTAATTTGAATTTTATCAGTTCTATAGCTTTTTATAGCATTCAATTTATATTTTGTTTTGGTTTTGTAGATGTTCAAGAACTATAAACAAAAAGAATTAATTAGTCACCTCAGTAGGCATGAGCATTAAACATAATAAAAATAATTTAAATTACTGTGTGAGGAGATCTATGAAAACTTTCTTTTAAAGAGAGTCTGAACAGGCAGGGAAGAGGATTTTTAGGGCAGTGAAACGATTCTGTATGATACTGTAACGGTCATTATACATTTCTCAAAACCCATATAAGGTACAACACCAAGAATGAACCCTCATTTAAACTATGTGCTTTGGGTGATAATGATGTGTCAATGTAGGTTCATCAATTCTAATAAATGTACCACCTTGTGGGATGTCAATAGTGAGAGAGGTTGTGCATATGTGGGGACAGGGGATATTTGGAAACTCTCTGTACTTCCCATTCAATTTTGCTGTGAACCTAAAACTGCCTTAAAAAATGAAGTTCACTAACTTAAAAGAATAAAGAAAAGGAGTCTGAGTCTGTTCTAGAACTAGAAAGAAAAGAATCAAGATGTCTCTTACAACAGGCTACTTTCCTGAAAGGTGTCCTCTAAGTTAAGACACCACCAACTGAAAACGGATTATCCCACAGAAACGATGTTATGTATTATAAGCAAAAACTTAGTGCCCAGACTTATAAGGGATGCTTAAATCAACAATACAATGTTCAATAAGAATTTCCTAAAGTACACAGAGATCCATAAAAATAGGCAGTAGTCAGATAAAACTTCATTTAATATGACCGAGGATTTATCTTACCTCTTTAATTCACATTTTAGATGTTAGAAAGTGAAAAGATACCTTAAAAAGGGTCAAAAAATTCAGATGAGTTTATTTCAACTTGTTTTTAATACTTCAAATGACTTAAATATAAAGCTTTCTGAATAAAAATATATACTTGTAGATAACCTTAAGCATAAGCAAAATAATAAAATCTATAATATCAGCTAGAAATAATCACTGATAATTTGGTTATCTCTGATGGTGATATTATGAGTAATTCTTTAAATAACAAGTTTGTGTCTTCCTTTTAGTTTATCTAATGCTAATTTTAAAGGTTTAAGTCAATAAGCTCAGAACAGATTTTGAGCCCAAATTCATGACATCAACAATATTGTCAGTCTTAACTACACATGCTCACTATTTTAAGTTCTTGCAGCCATCACTAGAACATGGCTGTTTTCTTTTTCTAAGGACTGAATACAAGTGGAAGGGTTCTCCCCCACTTATCATGAGACCAGAGTTTACTCCTCCGAGTGAACGTCGTCCATCATTCATTTCACTGGACTAACGGTTCTCAAAAATCTCAGACTCACATAGGAGGCCTATGAAAACACCCATTGCTGGGCCTCACCTCCTGAATTCCTGATTCAGTAAATCTGAGGGGGGCCCGAGAATCTGCATTTCTAGCAAGTTCCCAGTGTTGCTGATGCTGCTGGTCCAGGGCCCACACCCTGAGAACCACTGCATCAGACATTTACTACACTAAGCCAAGGACTAGGAATACAAAGATCTGTATGTCAAAGTTACTGCCCTCTAGGAGCTCATAAATTGGAGAGGAAAAACAAACAGGAGACAATTTCAAGATATTGTCACTAGAGATATGCAACTAGAGATATGCAACAAACCAGGAAGCCAGCCCCAAGGGAAGACCCAGGTTTTGCTTGGACATCAGAAAGGGCTTTCTAGAGAAAGCAACACTTCAGCCAAATCTTGTAGTGTTAATGAACCATGGAAAGTTAGGCATTCCAGGAAGTAAGGAAAGCATGTACAGAGGCCTGGAGGTAAAGAAGTGTCCTTCTAGAAAGAACAAATAATTTGAATGCATGAAATTTAGGATGTGAGGGGAAAAGAAGCCAGAAGGTAACAACAAATAGGGTATGCAAGATCATGAAGGGCATCTTATGCCAGGCTGAGATGGTTAGACTTTATCCTGAAGATAATGGGGAGCCACTGGCCGAGTCTAGGTATTTTAGAAAGACTGCTATGGCAAAAGTGTTGAAGACTGACTGACAAGGATAAGTGTAGAAGTAAGGAGACTAGACACCAGACTATTATTGGAGTCTTAGCAAGAAATGAGGTAGGCCTGAACTAAGGTATCAGTGGGGGTGGGGACAGCTTACTCAAAAGCTGATTTGGTTGGGAGCTGGCAGAGAGATGAGGAAGACACAGAAGTCACAGAAGACTCTCCCTTGCCATAGCTTCCGTAATTCCGTCTCTACCACTTCAGTAACTCTCCTACTCTAACACTCTGAGGTAGTTGGTCCTAAGTCTTCCTTGCAGGATGCTTTTCCATTCCCACCCAATGTCTGTGTTCCCCACAGTTCCTTCCTCAGTCCTCTACTCTTCACACTCTGTGTAATTCCAGGAGAATCTCCACACACCACTTCAATACCAGCTATAATGTAGTGACCCACAGATTTCCTTGCAGCCTCAGATATCTCATACATACCTCACATTTCAATATGCACAAAAGCAATATCATTACCCTGGCACCTTTCCCCCCAAACATTCACTTATATAATTATTAATATAAGATTCCAACCTCAAGGTCTTTATACCTGCTGTTCCCTCTGTCTAGAATATACTCTCCTCAGAAATCTATATATGTCACGTAACCTTCTTTTGGCCTTCCCTCAACTATCACCTCCTGAGGTAGGCCATCCCTGACAACCTCATTTAAAATCACAACCTCCCAACATTCCTTAATCCTTCTTGTTTTATGTTTCTCCTTTGAACTTACTAATATAATATGTATTTTACTTAGTCATTCCCTAGCCCCAAAAGCATGCTCCAGAGGATCAGGCATTTTTGTCTGCTGGTTCACTGTTGCATCCCCAGTGCCTAGAAAGTGCCTGTGACTAAAGTGCCTATTAACTCTGCTCCTTTCATAGTGAAATGTATATTCCTAAATCTCCTACAGAGCAGCCACTGATAGATCGTGTCTCAAACAACAAAAAATGTGCCAAAATATTAATACGAATTTCATAAATCCCTGAATGAAGGATACAAATTTTGTCCCCTTATCCACTTTGAGTATTTTAAAACTTTATTGTGTATTAATGGATTCGAAATGCAAAAATCTAAGAGGTTAGAACAGAAAAAGGATAAAATTTAAAGTCTGTCAACGTGTTTCCATACAATAAAAATTAAAGGAGTGTAATTCACCTCCCTTTGCCCACAACCTAGTCAAACATAACCATCAGTGGCTTCCACTTCCATCTCTATAAGAGCAGCAGTAGCAGCAAACACCTTGCGGGGGCGGGGGATGATGACTATCTCTCATTTGGCAGATGAGGGCAGTGGGGCTCAGAATTGTTGAAGTTAAGTACCTTATCCAAAGTCTCACAGGTTGGAAATGATAGGGCCAGGATCTGAATTCATATGAACTTAACTCCAAAGCACACTCTTGCCAATATACTACAGTGCTGCTGTCTCTAGGGGCCATTAAAACAATACTGTTTAGGGGCTGGCTCCGTGGCATAGTGGTTAAGTTCAGCGTGCTCTGCTTCAGTGGCCTGGGTTTGCAGGTTTGGATCCCAGGCAAGGACCTACAGCCCTCATCAGTCA